CTAAATCTCGGTGCTTCTGCAACCTCCCCACCTTCGCCGAGCACGATCCGGTGCTTCCGCAGCCTCCGCGACGGTAGTTTCAAACAAATGTTTCATTTATTGGTTTAAAGAATTTACAACGTATACATGTGGTGGTAGACTTATTGGGTAGTTATGATAGATTTATAAATTTTTTTTTTTAGGTTTCAGGATGGCAGTTGCGTAAATAAAATAGATTATTAAAGTTTATTTGTCTTTTATCGAGTTGTGTCAAGTTACTAGATTTGACAAAGTCATTCTAGTAATTACCCTACTTTTCAAAGTCATTCTAGTAATTAACTCTATTTCTTATACATATTACTTATGTGCCATCTAAACTTCCGTTGCAGAATTCCTAACATAAACTCTTTTCATTTGTTGCGCTTGCGTTTCCCTTGATTGATTCAGGTAAATGGTATGAATGGGCATATTCATGTGATGAAATTCGTCGATTTGAGTGAGCTTGATGGGTATAATAAAGAATGCAACATATGTGAAACAAAAATACTTGGTAGTCCATGCAAATGCGAGACATGCAACTTCCAGACGCGTAATTTCTGCGCAGAGCTAGGAAGACCATTAAAGCATCGAGTTCATTTGAAACATACTTTGACACTCTTGCCAAAACTCCCTGCACCTATAGAGGGTACTATGAGTTGTGACATTTGCACATACAATATAAGAGGGTTTAATCTCTTTTGTCGTATATGCAATTTTATCATCCATACCAATTGCATATATAAAGGTAAACATTTGTTTGGGGAGTTACAAAGGGGGCTGAAAATCACCGGAAGCTGGGGACGACGATGCAGTAAACATAGGCATTACTTGGTTAAAGTTATGGTCTCGTGTTCTTATCTGATGGCTTGCGCTATTTGTGATAAAAGGTTGAGTGGAAGAGGTGTGTCGTGTATGTCGTGTGTAGAAATATATCATTCTCTGTGTATTGAACGTCGGCGGTGACAAATACTATATCTGTGATGACGTGATTGAAGACAGTGATTCATCTCTCAGTTGGCTATGCTTCCTTCTATGAACTAAGTACTATAACTTTCCTATTCTGAGATTATGCCTCAAATCATTTTCTTCTTCTCATGTTTAAGTTTAATTTGGTGAGTATTTTCAATGTGTATTTGCTTAATTTGTGTTTATCTATCTGCCAACTTTGGTGATGGTGTGCCTGTGCCACTGTTTTTTTCTAAGCTTTTTTCACTTTTAAAAGTTTTCAATAACATTTGCATTTTTGTTATAAAAACTGCAACCACTATTTGGATTTTGGAGTCCTTGCATATTTACCATTTTCTGGAACAAGTTGTCTTCCTCAGATAAAGGTAGATCATTATTTACATCTCTATGCGATGAACCGCATCTGGTTCCATGATGGTGAATGTAGTCTAGAACCTTGTGGAATCCCCAACGGCGGATTTTCGCAAGAACAGTTATCAACAGCAAAGAGTTCCCACTCCTTAATCCCACATTTCTCCAATGCAGATTGCAATCTCTCCCTCTCCATCTCTACTGGGTACGAACCATCTGGTGTCACAAGCACAGCCCCCGTGTAAGACTGTCCCGCAACACGAGCCGCTCCATTGTAATGAAACAGTCCCCAACTTAAATCATCAGAGACATCTACAATAGTCCAAAACTCGTTTGACACTACACCATTGTCCAATACACTGAATCGGAACGTTGCAGGAATCTTTCCTCTCTTAACCGAGTATCTTCTCCTTCTCCACACCAACTTTCCTTCAAGCGTCCTCACCTGAAACACAGGTTCATACCAAAACGATGACTTCCCTTTACCTCTGTAGAAAAGCTGGTACTGACATGGAAACTGATCATAAGCTGGGTTTTGTCCTGCCACAACACGCCAACTCCAATCCAAGTCCCCTAACCATCCAACAAACAAATCTTCTGCCATCTCATGACATAACTCCTTCCCTCGGAAACTCGTCATGGGAGGAACATAAGGCTTCTCAGGAATCTTTGCATCCAGTTCAAGACAATTGTGTTTCTGTAGTACACAAAGAGAGAACGCTTCAAAGTGTGGACTCTCATAAGAAGCAATGCATCTGTAACTACACACCTGATCCACAGGACTACATTGGTTCAAACACTGAAGAGCTTTTCGACAATTCGGATCCAAGAGACAGTTCAAAATCTGAGGTCCACAGTTCTTCACCATACAACCAAGTGTCGAAAACCCTTTCGACCTCAAGTTTTGCAACACAGGAACTGGTCTAATGTAAGCATTGATGATCACAAGCAAACAAAACCTTATATCATCAGAGTTACGACGTTCCCAAGCATCTCCAACTGTCTTCACAACCTCAATTGCTTCTTTATCTTTCTTCCCAATTCCAAAATCAACCCCTCCAAGCCTATTCATCAAATCAGGAGAAGACTCAAAGCAAATAATGTTCTTGATGCTTTTACTATTTCTCTGAATCCAATTCACAGATTCTGGATTACTAATAGCAACTACAACCAAGATATCAGTCTGATTCAGTTCTTGTTTCAGATTCGTAACTCTCTGACCATTTGAACATAAAATTTCATCATCAAAGACGAGCATTTCGTATCCTTCATCAACCCATTTCAGTCTTGTTGCCTGTTTTATGGGTAAAGGATTATATCAGATTCTAAGGAAATTTACAACAATTGTTGGAAAGAGAGGAGATAATTTACTTACAGTGTGGAGCATAACTTCGACCCAAGAGGTGGATTTGAGTGGGCTTACTTCTCCTTTCCCTACGAGAGCAACCAATCTCACCGGAGGCTCCGGATTCGCCGTCGCCAGAACCGACCGAACAATGGTTCGCGAGCGGAAACCCAAAGAAGGACGAGACTTCCGGTTTAAATTAACCGGAGAGAAAACCGCTGGACGAGTGACGAACCGGTTGAGGAAGAGAGAAGACTCTCTCGTTCTTCGAGGAAGAGAAGGTGGTTTTAGAGAAATCACCATGTGAAGATACAGTAACGTCTCTCTCTCATTGGTCTCTCTGGTTTATAAGTGTTCACAAGCAAGCCACGTGTTGAGTTATCATTGGTCTTCTTCAATCAGAAAGTAGTAGAGATGCCCAGAAGAGTCGTAGAGAAACTCCATCTTGTTGGTTTAAGCCAATTAGAACCCAATCGCCAAAGTGTTCAGAATTCGGTTTAATTTGGAATTTTCATTAGATTTTGGAAAGTAGAGTCGATGCCCAGAACCGCAGAGAAAGCTCCAATCTTGTTGGTTTATGCAATCCCAATCGCCAATCTAAACCAATGTTCATAATTCCGTTTAATTTGGAAATTTCATAAGATTTTAGACTTTGATTTCAACTTCTTGTACAAATGTACATTTCGTTTTAGTTTTGGGTTGCACATTTTAGGTTCGGTTTAACATCAACTTATTTATTCTGATATCTCAAATTACATTTATCACCATTATTCCGCCATATTCCATAAAAATTCAATGTTATTCTACCAGATGCCATAAAAATTCACCAAAAATTTGACTAGATTTCGTAATTCCGCAAAATTCCTCTAATACCGCAAAATTATATTTATAAACAAAAATATTTAATTTCGTCGAACACAAATTTGTATTAATATTTTCATAAGTTTAACTAATTTATTTATTTTCAAAAATTCCGCAACATTCCGTCAAATTACGCTGTTACCATTAAATTCAAAATTATTCCGCTAAATTCCGTAAGAATTTACCAAAAATTCTAATGGATTATGCAATTCCGCAAATTTTTTCGAAATTTTTTCAAAAATATCATTTTTGAAATGCCACATTTTCAAAATTTTTGCAAAAATGCCACTTTTCAGAATTATTTTCTTGTTATATCATTTATATTTGGGTTAATTATGAAGTTTTTAATAAAAAATCTTCTCACCTATCGTCGGATCT